CAAGCTTCTACACAACTCCAACGTGAATCTCGACATTAATACGCCCCAGTCCTTCTACAAGGAGTATCTGTAATAGCAGTAGCAGTAGAACTCCAACTCATTACTCTCCTGGAGTTCATATTAAAATACTGGTAAACCTCCTACAACGTGATTGATACGTTCTTAGAAAGAGCCTCCTTATAAGTAACAACTTTATAGGAAACGATATGAAAGCCGAAGTTTGGTTTTAAAATGAATATTTTTGCTGCACAACATTTTATAGGAGATTTGCCTATATATATTATTTCAATTCTGGTGATACAGAAAATAAAATTGGTAGCATTTCCAACTTAACTTATAAATTAGCTTACAAAATATCCAAATTTTATATTTTTAGTCAAATAAATTTATACAAATAAATTTTCGTTTCGTACATTAATTAAAGTGAAATTGTTATTGATTTTCAGTAATTGTTTCATTACCTTCTGCGTCGATTTCTTGATTAGGAAGCGTGTGCAAGAACTGAAATCGTCGTAAGATTTTGGTAGGGCAACAAAATCGCACAAAGCCGTTGGGCTGCAGGTTCGAACTTCGAGGTTTGAGACAGAAAAAAACTGACTCAAGTTAAGGCATCCGACTAGGTTCGAAGACGAATTTTTCAAAAATTGATTTTCAGAACAATTTTATTGTTTCAAAGAACATAAAAGTTTTAAAGAGTCATAATTATTAAATAAATAACATGTTTCTCCTCTTTTTTTTTCAAAACATATATATGTTATTTTTATAAAATTTTAACAAATCTTTCAATGTTAAGAAAACTGAACTGAACTCAGTAGCGCAAGAGACCATGAGGGCCAAGGTCTGCTGTGTCTGTCTCAGCTTTCGTGACCTTAAGCGCCTGGGTGAATGTGCAGATATTTCGGTCAAGTCTGACGCGAAACCTCCAGTGATCAGTTCTCAAGCTAACTTGGTACTCATTTTATTAACCCTCTGAAGGAATGAAAGGCTGAGTTGACCTTGTCCAGCCTGTGGGATTTGAGTCCCGGACCTATGGTGTGGAAGCGCGATACACTACCTCTCAGCCACTGGGCTTCGTTAAGAAAACTGCATAAATAAAAATACGTTGGACACAATGTAATTTTAATTTAATTGATATACTTCTTGATCCATTTGAAGTGTCACAAACCATAGGAAAAAATTATTAAAAAAATAAACATTTTATAACCATTGGAGAGAATTTGACGTTAATGATTTTTCGTCAAAATTATTTTAGGTTCTAAGCTTAAAATGTCTGTAATCTGATTAAAGCTAATTATCTTAAAACCTGCGATTTGTTACACTTTAAAGGATTCATAACGTAAGTGTTACAAATTTCATTGAATTGTTTTGGAGATATCCCATTTTTCGTGCACAAACTATCGTGGCAATTTTATTCTTCAAAAATTAAAACATTGTTATAAATTAGATAAAGTAAGTATTAGAAAAACTACTTAAGCTTCTCCAGTTTTAAATGTGCTGTTCCTTTTCCTTCTCTTTCTTATTACTTATATTCCCCCCTCTATTTTTTTTATTTTCCAAATGGTCTTAACACCTTTTCAACCTGGTCGGATATCTTAAATATATTCTATTTTGAGAAATCCTCTAAATTCAATGATGAGAAGAAATAAGTAGCTGAAAACATTTATTTAAGAGGAGTTTAATTTAGATACTTCCTCCTACTCATTTTTTTCTGGGACCAGTTCTACTTCACATGTGATATTTTTGTTGAAAAATTGTTTCTAAATGTTTTATTTATTTCTAATGAAGCTGTGGATTAGTGTTTTGCCATTGCAGACCTAGTAAAATCCCCGAGACCTGGTATTACTTTTTAGTGCGGCACCATATAGGTGGATACCAGTTGCGACAATGTAATTTTGAAGCCCAGTTTCTTCCTCAGAGGAAGGCATTTGAGCTCTAACGATGCGAAAACGTTCTTAAGAATTTAATTTTGCCGAGAGCACCAAAGCCAACAAACACTCATGGATCTTTTACATGCTGCATAATCATGTAAAAGATCATGGATGCAACATGGATGCTGTCGATTTTCTGTATCACGAAAATCCACCGACTTTGGCCCGGATTGAACCTGCAATTGTGTGTGGCCAGCGACAAACCAACTACGCCACCCAGCCGGCCGTTACTAAATTTAAATATTTCAATTGAAATAAACTGCATTAGTAATATATATTCGGATTTAGAAAGTTGCACTTAGAATGAACCGAAATGCGAGAAGACAATTGGTTGAAGAAACACAAATAAGAAATAATTTAGAGTGGAAAACAAGCAAATTTAATAATTGTTTCACTTATCATTTTGAAATTAATCGAGAATTAAAAAAAAAATTGCATCCTTCCAAACCATATAAAATTGAAAATTACATTTTAATATTTTTTAACAAACAATGCAATTATGTAATTCTTGTTCTTATCTCTCAAACTGGGTTTTCTTAAAAAATCATACGCTTTATAAAATCTTTAAAAATCCATCTTTTCTGACATGGTTTAACGCCGTTTATGATTATTTTTAAAAATTACGTTACTGTTGCTGAAGATTATTGTTCTTTATCATTGTACTTTTATGTATTATTTCTGCTTTAAAATTATTACGGCCCGTTGGACGCATATGTGGCGTCCACAGTAGCAATGTGGTTCTGATCACGAATTCACGGCCAGCGTTGTCGAGTCATAGATTCAAGTCCTATTTCAATGAAATAGGTAGATGCACTTTTAATCTGTCGAGGTTCAATGTCCTCCCGTTGTCGTGATGTGGACGTTTTGAGAGTTTGATGTCAGTTTCTGTTTCGTCCTCGTCTCTTGACCTAGGTTTAAAATTGCAAGGTCTGTCACCAATTGTTCTGAGGTAGTTTCAAAGGGTAACATTAATTTATACTCACTTGAACGTATGTGTTCTTAAGACAATAGTTTCCATGATTAAGTTATATTTTGGTATAAGAGAATAGAGCATGGTTGTACAGAAAATCATTAGGTATTGAATTAGTTTTAAATGCATATATAAACTAGTAGTAAAAATAATGAATTGCTCCAAACAAAAACAAAAAAGAGGGAACATATGAAACCAAGAAAATTTGAGCCAATTCGAAATATTTTTATATTTTTTCACCATCCATTTAACTAAGAAGAATATTGTTTTTGGTAAGTACCATTCTGTTGTAGTAGAAGTAATAGAATTTTGACTAAAAGGAAGCGAGGGAAAATATTCCTTTAAATTATAAGATGCACAACAGGACATTAAAAATTTAACACCAAGGAGTGGGCAGAACATTAAGAAATTTGGCAAATAGAGAGAGACAGAAACGAACAACAAGAAATGTATCTTTTAAAAAGATACTCGTAACATAGAGTGAGAGCAATGTCAGCTCATTAGGTTGTAGGACCACAGTGGATGGCGATATACGAAACAACACGTCTAGATACATATACAAGTATTATTTGAGTGCAGGTAGCAGGCAAAGAGATAGTATCCATTCCTTTTCAACCATTTGCCACAATTCGTCTTCTGCTGCGATGGCAATGTATGCAAGCAGAGTACAATCGCATTCCAAACTTCTTCGATTGGTGACAGACCAGAAGAAAATTGTGATCAGAAAAGCGTCTGTACAATGTGCAGATCGTATTGGCTGATTTGTGTCGTGCGTGGTCGGACGTTATCCTGCTGATTAATGGTGGAGGGCACCCCTATGAAGGAAAGGGGGTGTCCCTGGCCCCTGCTCATCATCCACTTATCATTAGACCGTCAGTGTCCCCAGTACGTTCTAAAAATACCCTGCTGTGGAAAGCAGATGGCGCCCCGAGCCATATAATGCTGCGTTGTCATCCGGTAGAGCGTTCATTAGATATAGTCGGGTTAAACCTGTCATCACGCAGGCAACACATTCGTCCATGGTGACTATCACTAGACAAACAGAAGCCTGACTGGTATGAAAACACAACCTTGTGCCATTCCGAAGTAAAAGTTACTCTAGGCGGACATCACTGTAAACGGTGTCGTCTGTGCTGTGGGGTAAAGGCAATTTTGTTCAAAAATGATGAATGCAGGCCACTAGTAACAATCAATGAGTAATCTTTCTGGACTGTATGGTAGCATCAAAGGTGCCCTGCATATGCTGCAAAATGGGAGCAAATGTAGCTTGCAAGCTGTCGCCGTTGATCCATGAATGCATCAATCTATGCTTGCTGAAATCGTTTTGACCTCCTTGGAACTTTTTAAACTTGCCGCTTTTTCTTTTTTCAACCATCTTTGCCCCAGCCGATGCGCCATGGACGCGTCTAGGTGGGTGTCAGCTGAGATTTGGACGCGTGGACTAACCTGCTCTTTTCAGTCTAATGGAATAGTCTGTCTGCTAAAACTGTCCCCGTTGGAGGTGGTCCAACATTCTTTAAGGTAAGTAAAGCATTTCCAAAATAATTTTCCTTGGCGTAAATAATGGTATGGATTTTGTTCATTCAAAAAGTCCCTTCCCTTATATCCTACTCAATATGTGCCGGAAAGCTGAGAATTTGCATTACTCAGAGAGATGTGTGTATCCTGAGTGTTCATAGTTTTTCTGGCTACTACTTATGGGTACTGCATTTTCAGTGTCATTAATGTCTATGCGCAAGATTTATACTATATTTTGTTGTTGTTTTTGCCTTTTGTTGCTGATTTTTTTTATTGATTTTACCAGCAGTTTTATCATTTTATTTACGTATTTCTTGTGTTTTTATTTTTCAATTCCTACTATTAGTTCACACTCTCCTTGTATATATATATATATATCTTATTCAAATTTTCAATCGTTAATAAAATACTTTTTATTCATCCACTCAAGTTCAAAAACATTTTTTTAAACTTGTAGTGGATGACACTTGATATTAATACAGTTTTTTTTTCCAAATATTAATTCATTAATTTAATTTAATTAATAAATAAATTGTAACAAAAATAATAGTCCTCCACATATAAAAAGAAAAATCGCTCGTTGTGTCCCTGAAACGCAATGGATAGTGCGTTGGACGATCCATCCAAAGGTCGTGGGCTCAAATCCTACCGGGGATGGTCTAATTTCTGAGAATGTGACTTATGAATGAATAAATAGTAACACAAACAAAAATAATAGTCCAACACCATAAAGAGAAATGAAAATCGCTTTCTATTTTGCCACTTAATATTGTGATTCTTTCATAAGTACATACATATTTATATTAATTTTAATTTTTAATAAAAAGTAACTAAAATAAAAAAATTCTTTATTTACCTAAGTAGGAATTGAGTTAAAAATTTTTTTTTTTTTGTATTACTTTAGTTCTAAGGAAAAAATAATCTAAATGGTTGATAGAACTTTTAGGAATGAAACGTGTGTGAGAGGGGAAGAATTAAACTAGTTATTCAAGAAACACTGATTACCATTTGTATTGTTTTTTTATTACTAATATTCTCAATTTTTTAATGCCACAAGACAAAAACTGAACTCCCCGTATTAGTATAAGAAGGAATAATTTTACAAGAATGGATATATTTTATAATTTGAATCGCATTTTCTGTTTTATTATTCTTGCAAATATTACAAACTATCAGAACTCATAAAAGTATTTTATAAAAAAAAGTAAGAAATTAAAGAATGATATTGTTTAGTTTATATGATATATGATTGATATAATTCTAACCGAATAAAGTTTTCTTAAATTATTAAATAACTATGTGCGAAATTATATGAAAAGAAATTTCAATTTTTTGTGATGTATATTTCTTTTTAATTATATGTAAATAAAATTATTCTATAATTGTAGATTCTTATGCCGGAAATATTTCATTATAATATTTTTTTTCATTATAATGATCAGGACTCTCCATCGCCAATATCGCCAAACATAAAAACCAAAAAAAAATATTTTTATATGGAGTAGTTTAGAAAATCTGATACTGTATAATTCTTTCCCAATCAGAATGAACAAAGCCACATTCTTGTAGGACCAGACAGAGAGGTACACATCAAAGAAGATATTTTTATCCTTTCTGTTCTTTGGAATTCTCTGTTTCAATGCAAATGTCACGCAGCCTTCTGTAGGTAAAAGTATTTACATTTAACATTTTGGAAAAAATACATGTCCGAAGATAAGAGAAATAGTGCTTAACATATAGCAGCTGCCATCCTTCTTTTAATGCTTGACAAGTAACCATTGTGTCTTGATTGATCACTAAGTTTTTTATGCAAATTCCCATCTGTGAAAAAGATACCAAACGCGATTGTGTCGGTGAATTATTATGAATAGTTAAGCAATATGTGCATTTTTTTCTCTTCTGTAATATGACTCTTCGTTTGATACAAAGTGAATTCAAATATATATTTCCAATTCATTCTTTTAACTGCATATCTTTGTTCTATCTGACAAGCCGATCAAAAAAAAAAATGCGTATGATCTAGATTTAAAGGCATTTTAGAAAATGGTTTGAGACGTATTAAAAGTTTGACGCAACAGTTTTGTTACATTTTGCATAAAAGAAAAATAGTTGCTGTATTTTGTAATGACGCAAGAAAGGTGACTTTGAATTGAAAGCAATTTTTTCAATTTAGGATTTTTGTTCGGTTCCTTCAGACGATATATTTCTGCAATTTTTATTATTATTTATAACAAATTCTATTTATTAGGGTATTTTTTATTGAAAACATTTATAATTCCTCGTGTACCACAAAGTATCACTCGGGGCATACAAAGTAAGTAAGCAAAAATAACAAATTACAAAAGGAAAAAAAAGAAAATTTAAAAGTTATGAATGTGTGATTTCAAATAGTTAAAAAAGAATTTATAAAAATGGTAAAAAACACTTCTAGTGGAATTAAGTTCATGAAAATCTGAAGGCTAATTTATATTAATGCCCCTGAGAGCCAGTACTAGGATCTTTCTTTCTGACAAACTTGGAACACAAAATTTTACATTTTCCTCGCCACATTTCTACAAACGCAGGAAGATGACTTAACCAAATTAAATTTGTTCAAATAACTTTTAAAGTTACCGTGGCCAGTGAGAAATTGGATTATTTTGTAGTAAAAAATAATAAAAAAATATAATTTTAATAGTAAATTTTTTAATAGTAAAAAAAAATGATTACACGACAATTTCTTATATTATTGGATGGAAAAATTCCTTAATTTCCCTTTATTTAAAATGAGATATGTTGTTGTTCCTTATCCGAGATGGTGTGAAGCAGGGATGGGTATTAAGTTGATCGCGATCAATAGGTGGCCCACCAAGACTTCTGGGGGAAAGCGCCTTTACGAGGATCTAAGACACGCATGCGCTAAAAGAAACATTTATGGAACACCGATGCCATCCAGACTGGAGAATCGGCTTTTCACATTCGATGTAACTGTGCAAACTTAAGCAAATGATTCAATAAAAACGTTGATGACACATGTACTTTCATTGGAAGCGCACGAGGACGCTTAATATGTTCACTGCCGCTGCAAGGGGCTACGATGCCAGCCGTAAAAATGAATTTTTTCCCACACGCAGCTTGAAGAGGTGACTAAATAGTGACGATCAGCTCTTCTCGCAATAGCACGGGGTTGGCTATTGAGATATCATTCCCTGCCCGTGCTTCCACAGGATTGAGTTTCCGTATTGAAGTCGTGGCGACTCGGCAACTCGGTTCATTGATTCCAGTATGTTCTCTGCGCGCTGCATTGAACACGTTCACGCTCCACGATCTAGTAGTAATCTGACATATTTTAAAAGAGGGGTACAATGTCGAAAATAAGTGTTAAGAAAAGAAAACATACAATTTTAATGCAGAATGGCCACACCTACGACACTAGGTTGACCGCAACATTTTAAAAACTTTAGAAGTAGCCCGCACCCTGAAAAGTCCGCCCACCCCTGGTGTGTAGAGCTACACTATCTGCATAAAACCAAAAATCACAAAAAAATTCCAAAAATAAAATGGGATTCTTGAAAACTTTGCCACTAATAAAATTCAAGCAATTAAGAATATTACCGGGGTCGACCTGATCAGCCTTGCACCGATGACTCTCTAAAGACTTTACGGCCCTGTCAAAAATTAAGAAACTTATGGCCACTAAAAAAGCGTGATAGAGCCGTCGGCTGACTTCTAGGAATATTGAGCTTCTGATACCAGCGAGGTCCTTTTCTAAAATACCAAGGGTGAGCAGGCGGTACTCTCTAAAGTGCGTTTAATTCCATCCTTTTATGGAGGAGATTTCAGTAAAAGATAGAAAAATGTTTTCCTGCAAGGTGTCAGCATTGGTAGACTTGACCCAACTATCGGTTATCTCATTACCATTCAGAAATGAGATATTCTTGGTTCCAAGACTCCACCATTCTTCCTCTGATAACCTTCTTGAAAAAGGATTTAGAAATGTTAACGGCCATGTCAGTTACACGTCAGTTAGGGAGCTAAAATATTACTGTACTAATTAGTTTATTAAGATAACAATAAAAGTCAAGTGAACATAATTTATTGACAAAATGTTTAGAAGTAATTAACTTAGCGGGGAGTGATTAGATTTAACTATGCTATGCATGGATTAATGAAAACTGACAAAGCACTACAGAAAAATCTTAACGTGAATTGTAAATGATAGTATCATCAATTAACGTATGTGTTTCGTTTTGTTTTCAAACACATTCCCCCTTAACATTCATCTTAAAACAAATCGAGTATATAATGAACAGGAAATAAAAAACTCATTTGCTTTGAAATAAATTAAAGAATTTGATCATCGAAAAAATGTCTACCTACGCAACATCTCTATGTATATAATTGCAGCCCACCATTTTAGAATCATTTTTTTTTCAATGAATATTGTCTGCCACTCTTACGAAGAACAAAAACGAATGAAAAAAATGACGTGAAGAAGCTAAAAAACTGTTGCCAAAATATTTTTTTATTATTTTTTTCTACCTGAGCGTTCGCACTTCAGCAAGACTATAATTACGGCTTTTTGTTGATAAGCAGACGATAAAAGAAAGAAAAATTGCTTGAAAATATTCTTCTTTTATGCGTTTCATGTTCTGAAGAGCACTTCGCTTCTTCCAAAGAAGCCCTTCGGAATATCTTAAGGATACGTTTTTTTTTTTTAAATAAAAAAAGTATAAAAATTACAATGTTTTTAAAATTTTTATTTAAAGAAAAAATTGTGTTTTTCATCTCTCAAAAAATACGCTCATGCGAAAAATGTAAGGCATATATCGAGTAAACAAAAAATATTTTAACAAAACAAAGTATTAATTTCTTCTCAAATCACACATTTTTAAAATCTTAATACTTAAATAAGACAATGTATTTTTTTAAGATTAAAAAAAAAATCTTAAACACTTCGATTTATGAAAATATAAACACAACGAGTTTTTGGATCAAATGTTCTACTTCTTTGATCAGACTTAATTTAATATAAAACGTTATTATCCTACTGTGGACGATTAATAAAACATTTTCATCATAACTTTCTTTGACTCAATTTTTTAGTTTAAGTTAGACTCTCGTGTTTCAAAACGTCAAGTGACCGCGGTAGCCTAGTGGTCAAGATTATAGTCTCATGACCGGTGTACCATAAGTTCGAGATTAGTACCGCTGAGAAAACCCGCAGTGCAGAGGGGAAGAAAGGGCCGATGCACGTTAAATCTGTCGAGGATCAAACATCCGTCCGTTAGTGTGAGAGGGGGATGCCAGCTCAGGTGTAGTCCTCATCGCTTGAACTTGGTTCAAAATTACGAGGTACGTCGCCAATAGCCCTCATGCAGCCTTTTAGTGCGACGTTAATATACTCACTGTGTGACGGGGATGACACACGTTAAATCTGTTGTGGCTCAAAGTCCTCTTGTTGGCAAGGGCCAGCTCAGGTGGCGTCCTCGTTATTTTTGACTTAATTTTAAAATTACGAGGTCTTCTGGCTGATAACCCTCCTGTTGCTTCAGAATGAGGCGTTAAAAACACTCACTCGCTCCGGAATGTTAACAGCTCTAAGTAAATGAATTTTTCAAAGGTTAAAGTTTGGAAGTATTTATCAATATAAAATATATATTTAATTTTTTTATATT